AGTGAATGGTCACGTACCCACATTCACTCTCAGAGAAGTACATCGCTCGAAAGGCGTAAGTATTGTTCCAGAAAAGATCAAAAGGTGTATTTTTACACCTATTTACCTATTAATTACTCGCACAACTTCGGTGTTTTTTTCCTCATAATTCAGTTTATCACAATTGTATCCATGACAGATTCATCCACCTACAGACTCATGCACACACACCTATTCCTGTGCATGAAAGGAAAAGAGAAAGAGACGACACCAGCCAAACATAATTCTATACGTATCGCTAAGGATCATGGTCTCCCTTCCCGGCACCATGGATGTGAGATCAAAAATATGAAACAAATGCATTGTAAAAACGACATAACCAATGAAAAAGCTCAAAATCAAAAATATAACGTTTAGGCTAGCACTTGCCAATAATAATAGAATATTCGCTTTGATTTATATCCCATTGATTTTTTCATCGCCCATTTCGGAGAAAACAAAAAATCGATTAGACGACCTACACGATCCAACTCTATGGGTCTTTACAGAAAGTACTGTCCTATCTGCGCGAGGAGCGAGACAACAGGTTGGAAACTGCCCATCGCATCACCGACAAATTTCCCCTCCTGCACCGCAGTGGAGTGCTTCATTAGGGATTGCAATTCCTCCTTAATGGATTCTCGCAACGATTGGTTAAATGTAAAAAGGAGCCCCTCAGCCTCAAGATCCTTGTAGACGGAGCGGTAGCCATAGTTTGTACTGCCGTACGCTGTCAGATAGGGCGCGGCGAGGACGTTAAGCGCTTCGGGAGGCGAGCCGCCCGTGTTCGCGGGGTTCTTACAATTAGAGGGCTCCGAAACAAACCAAATCCCCTTTGCGTGAAAGGTAAGATTCGGCATGGAAAACTCATGAAGGTGAATACGGTGCACGCAGTTATAAGCCTTCATCAGGTAGTAAAACGACCTCTCGAGCTGTAAGTAAAGGAACGGAATAAACCCCGCAAACCCACGCTGCCCATTCCATCCATTTGTCTTCACGCTTGCCGTGATGCAGTCGAGGGGAAGGTCGCGATGCAAAAACTCCTCGACAAACTCGGCGTGCAGATTAAGATAGGGCGAGGCGAGGAAGACGTGGTCGGCGGGGGTGGTCATCGACAGCAGCGTCTTGACGACCGCGCTGTCGTGAAAGACGCACGCCCGGCCGCACTGCAAAGTGGGGAAAAGAAATGAATCGCAGGGGCGGTCGGCCGCCAGAAGCGCCGCGTGGGCGACCCCCGCGAAGTCGGCCGCGACCCCCCGCGCGAACCCCACCAACCGCGCGCGCATCGCCAACTTGAAGGCCTCCGTCTGCGCGGAGGGGTCGAGGCCTGTGGTGTTCGGCCGCACCACCAGCCCGCACCGCGCGTGCAGGGAAGTCGAGGAAGGCGAAGGCGAAGGCGGAGAAAGGCCCTCCCCCCCCTCCCCCTCCTCCTCCTCCTCCTCGCCGTGTGGGAGAACGCGGTGGGAGAGCTCGCAGAGCGTCCGCACCAGCCGCATGAACCACCCCGCGACGTGGGCGTTGGCGTCGAAGACGATGTAGCGATCCATCCGCGTCGCGAAGTAGTCG